TGGCGGTACTGAAGTCGTTCTGCACCAATTGTTGAAGCGGGCAAGGCGCACTCCTACTGGCTGCACGCCCCGACAGTCCGTAATGATGAGGACAGTACGTTGCGCAACGAAGGGCTTCTACACGTTGACAAATTGGAGACGCTCTCTTCCAGGCAACATTTTTATAGCGTCTGGCACACTCTGAATCTTTTCAGGGTTGTTTTGAAAGAGTTGTATTTTGCGTACCTTGAACGCTTGCAGCAGCTCCACGTTCAGCCCAAGTTTCTTGAGTCTTTTCTTGTTGTCTATCAGCTCGACTTCCTTCAACTCACTCTCTAATGCTAGGGTTTCCTCAGCAGTGGTATTGGTACTCTGGAATTCTTAGAAGGATTTTCAGGTGAGCTTACAAATGTTATGAAAACTAACCTTTTCGTCTACCGTAGTGGCATTTATAGCCCAGTATTTTTGCCACGCTTTACATTCAGGTAAGGCTGAGACGTTGAGCTTGAAATCTTCCGCTTTGTAGCTAGCGTCGATCCAGAGCACTGTTCTTGCAAACGAGAATTCACGTTCGTTTGGTAAGGATTTGTGTGGATTTGAATTCACTTGAAGCGTTTCCCAAGTTGTAGGAGCCATAGTGGAGAGCGGCGACAACGGAGCGACGCCGAGGACAACAACTTTACCTGTGGGAACGCAGGATTCACCATCCCTCTGGGTGAACAACAACGCGGGTCGTATTTGGCTATTAGAGGGGGTCGTATTTTGGCAAGAGAAAATAGCTATCTGATCGTTGATCTTCACGAGAGGCTAAATTTTCAGTAGGGGGCGACAGGCGAGTGCCTGGCCTGATCGTGCGTCCGGATCGTGGAGCGATTCTTCGTTATATTACTACTAGACCGACGGGCAGGGAACCTTGGCTGTTCCACAATTCCGTTGTGGGCCTTCGCTAACCATGTGTCCCTTCTTGCAGAGACACGCCTGTACTTCTACTCAAAATCGCAGAGACTTCAGAATACGTATGGCTCGGAAAATAAGTTCAGGTAGGTTTAGAAGTTAGTTAGTGTACATGTCAATATTTACACTCTCAGGCAAGTCTGGTGTAAGTTTGACGGCCCGACGTGACCGAAATTGTAAGGTCTGGGTGGGAGCCGATCCGCAATTAGACCCTCAGCCTCGCGCATGGTACACATGCCACATAACACTTGTACCGGTGACAAAGAAACTACCAAATTTTTGAGAAGGTTTTATTCTTCGGGATTTGAGCTAATAAATAGGACTTAGTGCAGACGGCCGTCGGTGGGGTAAAAGTGGTAGTAGGTGTTGTTGAGCCATAAATTAGTCACGGTTTCACAGGCAGCCAGGACCAAGAGCGTCATACCCATGACGAAATGCGGCCAATGACACCAGTAGGGCAAAAGTTGTTTGAACTGTTTGTCCAGTTGCATTAAGTGCACTACGATTCTCGTGGTGGTCGCGGTTGTGGATACTGGAGCCTACAGGCGGTTGGCTGTGGCGCGTTGCCAGCCGTTCTCCACCATGTGGAAGCTGGTAAATGACCACAATTGGAAGAAAACTAGCTGGGCCAAAAGCCAAAAACCAAAAGTTTGTAGATAGCAAGATCAGAAACAGGATTGTATCTGCTAACCGACTTGCCTGTGGAGGAAAGAGAAGAGGAAACTGTCGAAAACACTTCCAACAAGGCCCTACGTGCGCCAAGCGAGAGTCAAGGAATCGATGCGGATATCGAACCAGAGGCCAGGTAAAGCAGCGAGAGCGCGTGCAAATGAGCAAGACAGCAGATGAGACATCTGTCAATGCGGGTAGGATCATTTGTGCAACTGGCAGCAGCACTGCGGCAGTACAGCTTTTTTGCTTTACCGCCGCTACCGTACCTGGACTGGGATAAGAATTTTTTACAGGTCGTTGCTTCGGTCTACACTATGTACCTCCCCCCACTTCGAATAGCTCAAAATTAGGCCACTATGAGTGGTCGTGGGTCGCGCCTTCAAAACACTGAGATTCCACTGCGATCCTGATTCCATAATGGACTTCTGGGCTTTCCTCGTCACTCCGTCATCGCCGCCGTAAATTCGCCGTATTCTACGGAATTCGATGGTACGAAAGACGTTAAGAGAGCTGCAGGCAATGAGGTAAAAAACTAGAGAGATACCTGTTCAAGGCATCATCTAGTGAAGACGAGAACTCTTCTTCCACCTTTTTAGTAATGTTGAAGATGTCGAAGGTGCCCATTAACAGTGCGCTTATCACTGGAAAACAGTATTTAAGTGACATCAAAAGAAGTAAATTGGAGAGTCTCACCGTCAGGCTCCACATTTTCGTCCGTCTGTGATTCAAGTTCTGTACTTGTTGTGGTTGATGGCGTTGTAGATGAGATTTCTACCTTTTCTGTTGTAGACGCTTCTGAGGTTTCCGCTTCTGGAGTGGCTGTGACTGAGCTCGCTGCTGATTTGTTCATCTCTGATGTCGTCATGTCCTCAGACATCGTACTGATGGTACTGTTCATCTGTTGTGCTATCGGTTGCTTCCTGGAAAGTGTATGGTAAAAAAATTGTAAAATAGTGAATTTTGCTCATTGCCAAGTTCCTTCAGAACCCTGTGATTTCTGGTGTCCCGCAGCATCATAGTAATCCAGATGTCTTCTAACAGAATTGAAACTCCAGAAGTTTTCTGGAGTATCCCCGTCTCCTAGGGGGGAGGGAGAAGAACCCTGGCATTGAAAACACTCCGCTCCTCTACTCTGTCACGTCGTTGTTGCGTCCCTTCGTGTAAAAAGTGGCACGCTTTATTCTGCTATGGTCGTGACTGAGGAAGAGCAGAAACGCAAACTCACCGTACAAATGATGACTGCGCGAGAAGATGTGGTCTAATGCTCTTCCATCAATAATGCTGAAGCTGCTGGAGCAGCACGACGATGGGAGGGGCATTTTGGTTTCCCGCTGCGACACTCGTTCCGGTTTATACCATTTTCACTTTAAATCGGACACTTTTCAAACCAAATCGGACACTTTTCAAACCAAATCGGACACTTTTCAAACCAAATCGGACACTTTTCAAATCAAATCGGACACACCCCCAAGGGCAGTTGATAACTAGACCACACTAGGTACTGCTGCAAGCCCCCCGCCCCAACACCCCGCCCACCTTTCCAGCGCGGTCACGGTTTTCCAAAATGTTTTATGAAATCTGCTTCTTCGACTTTTTCTCACTTTTGCTAGTTGCACACACACTTCAACTGAAAAGGATTGGTACCGATACAGATCTGACTCCGCCCACTTCACAATCAAGTGATGTAAGTTCTGAATTTTTATAACTTCTTTCGACGTCGGTTTTTTCACATTCAATCTTCACAAAACGAATATAGCCATGCTTTTACACACTAGCACACTAGGCCCCGCCCCTCTGATGACTTTCGTTTTTCGCGGAATTTCGGTTTTTCTTCCGAATTTTCACTTTTTAGGCTATGGCAAGCGGCCCCGCCCACTAATGGAAGCTCCGCCCACTTTGTAGAAGCCCCGCCCACTTTTCGAAATGATGCAGATCGGCGAGCTAGTGACCGTACTAGCAGGTTATGGCCTCTCCCGTCACCCGGAACAAAGTTTCCCTTTTTTGTGGTCTTTCCCTTTTTTCATTCTATGTGACGGGAGAGGCCATAACCTGCTAGTACGGTCACTAGCTCGCCGAGTTAGTGGGCGGGGCCAGCTTGCCACAGCCTAAAAAAGTGAAAATTCGGAAGAAAAATCAAAATTCCGCGAAAAACGAAAGTGGTCAGAGGGGCGGGGCCTAGTGTGCTAGTGTGTAAAAGCATGGCTATATTCGTTTTGTGAAGATTGAATGTGAAAAAACCGACGTCGAAAGAAGTTATAAAAATTCAGAACTTACATCACTTGATTGTGAAGTGGGCGGAGTCAGATCTGTATCGGTACCAATCCTTTTCAGTTGAAGTGTGTGTGCAACTAGCAAAAGTGAGAAAAAGTCGAAGAAGCAGATTTCATAAAACATTTTGGAAAACCGTGACCGCGCTGGAAAGTGGGCGGGGTGTTGGGGCGGGGCTTGCAGCAGTACCTAGTGTGGTCTAGTTATCAACTGCCCGTAAGGGGTGTGTCCGATTTGATTTGAAAAGTGTCCGATTTGGTTTGAAAAGTGTCCGATTTGGTTTGAAAAGTGTCCGATTTGGTTTGAAAAGTGTCCGATTTGGTTTGAAAAGTGTCCGATTTGAAGTGAAAATGGTATACATTCCTCACTCTGGTGAAACTCGTGAACTGTTGTGAAGCTGGAGCAAGCTCGTAGAGCCACCATGGTAAAACCTGTCAACTCGAGAAAAGGCTCTTAGATGGGTCGACACGTCGATGGGAAGTAGCAGAAGTGCAAAATGCCCCCCCCCCACCTCCCGTCAAAGAACTGCCCTGAGCTGCTTCTCCTCCTAGCCAAAGCGGTCACTGTTTTTTCACTGTTTTCCAAGCTTGACATTCTAGGGAATGCTAGAGAATCAAGAAGTCGAAAAAGACAGTAGTACAGAGGCACGCTGGAGGAATTGCTACAAACCTCTCCTCGAACAATGTCATGGAACTTTCATCCGAAGTCGGATAAGGTGTTGTGTGCAATTTTATTGCTTGGAAGACTTTCCTGCAAAACTGCATTCAATGTCAAGTTTTAAGTGACACTGTGCAAATGTACTCTCCATATCCACATGACGCAATAGGCGTGGCTGCGTCCTTCACTTTAATATGGCATAGATGAATTATTCGTTAAATATTTCATCGAGGCGGTAGTCGTTTTGTCGTTTATTATTGAAACACATGACCACAGTTGCCTTACAATGAAAATATCCTTTTGAAGGAGCAGTCGCCATGCTCGAGTGAAGTAGCCACGCCTACTGCATCTCAGTGATTCGGAGCGAAAGTCGTTTATCTGATCATGGACATCATCATCATCTGCCCTGTATGCGGCCCGATGGTGCCAGGTAGGGCGAGTTGATCGCAGTGGCGATACATGCAAACGATTGGGCGTTTAAAGGCACATTCCGCGATAAAATAAGGCTATGACCTCTCAAATGTGTCGGACGATCCGGAAGGCGATTTTTGAGGCTGCGCTACTTTCAAAATGTGAAAAACGGCC